TACCATTTCATATTAAAAATCATTGTTTTCATATGTATGCTGACAATGATCAACGACGAGCATATGAACAACAAGCTAAACTTGATTTTAATTCATTTATAGAACATCGTTCTCGAGAACTTGTATCAGGTGGAGTTTTAGTTCTTAGTATTCCTAGTTTTGATGAACAAGGAATTGATAGTATGAGCAATTATTTTGATCAATTATATATATGTGCTCAATCATTTTTCAATGAACAAGAATTATTAAATTTTACAGTACCTATATATCTTCGTTCATTATCTGAATGTATGGATTATGAATTATTTGATCGATGTTCATTACAAGTAATAAGAGCTGAATCAAGTCAATTGAAAGTACCTACACTTGAACAATATCATAATGGTCAATTAACATTTGATCAATTAGTAAAAATATTTACAAAAGTATTTGAAAGTACTATGGAACCTTTAATTCATCAAGTATTACGTATGAGCGGTCGTTCAAAAGAAGATATTGATCAAATATCAAAAGATTTTTGGATGGTTTATGAAGAAAAACTAAAAGAAAGACGAGATTTAGTTATTAATGGGAATCAATATGTATGTGCTTGTTTGGTATTGAAAAAAATATAAGATACATTATTAACAAAAAACTTTTATTTTTCATATTTCTTAATTAGTTTTGTTGTTCCCTGATTAAATTTCTTTTTATGAATAAAATTTTTATTGACATCTTATTCAAAGACAATTAAGTTGGAAGAAAACGAAATACTCATTTTGAATATAAATTCGATAATATCAATCATTTGGTGTGGGTGGGTGTGGGTGTGGGTGTGGGTATGGATAAATAGAGGAATCCTACACACACCCACACCCCACACCCACACCCTTCAATTAGCTTGGGTATAAGAGTTTTGGAGGACCAGTTAGCAGATGCAGATATCAAAACAGCAAGATCATCGGCAAAAAGGTGCTTCCAATGCAACAATGATATAGGGTGTGGGTGTGAGTGTGGATGTTTCTGTGGTACTAATTCACACCCACACTCACTTCCACCCACCCACACCCACACCCACACCTACACCCACACCCCACACCCACACCTACACCCACACACCCACACACCCACAGCCACACCCTCTATTGTGGGTGTGGGTGTGGGTGTGAGTATCATTCCTCTCTGTACCCACACCCACATCCTAGTACCTAGTATAACAATCTGACTGAAAATTGTAATATCAATTAATTTTCTAATTATTCTAATCTTTTCTAATGAAAACAATCGAGATCATTAAAGGTTCGTCAACAACATGGACTGTTTTTTGTTTACTACCATCACAATTTGTGGAATCACTTTATAACAAGTTTTTGAAAACAAAACAAACACTCAGATAAACTAATAAGTTTTATAGTATAACATATTTGTTCTAATCGAAATATGAAAAAGGCTTATTTATCTCGATATATCTTTATCTTCAAGTTGAGAACATCTAACAAATTTATGCATGGTAAATGTCATAAATAAGAAATTAGTTGTATGATTTTTGAATAATCTCCTAACATCTTAACATACTCAGCTTGAGCGGAACGATAAAAATCCTTTTACTCTGTTCTTTATGTACTGCCGGCGAATATCGACAAGTGTGATGAGACGGAAGAAGTTTTCTGGATCCTGATCGTTAAAAATTACAGTTCAGTTTATTACCGCAAATAAATGCTACATTGTCGTCGTAAGAACTTCGACTTGTAAAACATATCTGATTAATCTGTGTATAAGATAATCATATATCATCAGTTTATGACATACAATAGCTATCAAAAGAACAAACTGAGAAAAAAAAGTGTAAAATATTGTCCAGAAATATTCAATTCAGAATGGTTCGTGCAACTTGTTTATGATGTGTTCAATACGTGCATGGTAACGACGAATACGCTGTCTTTTTTATGGAAATGACAACATGCGAATATTTTCTGCTACATTCATTCAAAAATCTCTTTAAATCTCTTTGCTCAAGTCGTATTCCAAAAATGCAATAGATGAATAAAGCAGAAACACAATAATGAATGATCTTTTTATGTCTACTCATGTTCTTGAGTCTATTAATTCAACTAGCAAGTTCAAAGATATTTTTTTTGATTTGTTAGTCATCGATGAAAAAAAACTATTAACAACAAATAATGTAATAGAAATCGGTCACGATTGAAACTGAAATTTCACCATTGATTTGAACGCTTAGCTCATATCCAAACCCAAACCCCCAAACAGTTGGGGTTGGGGTTTGGTGCATCCCTAGCTAGAAGTTTGATTTTGTTTTTGTTTGGAAGAGTCCATTTTCATGTACAAGAAACACAGATTGCATATGTTTTAGATTGCTTTTCGTTTAAATGAATAAACAAGAGAAGGAAGACGCTCGAAAATGTATTGTAAATTTTTATAATCATGCTGGTGGCGGTAATCTCATGGCGGCTGTTAAGTATTTTTTGAGCCAGGGAATGAAAAAAAGCATCATATAGGATACAATAAAACAATATAAGCAATACGAAACAACGGCAGATTTATTTCGAATTGGTAGACCAGTCAAGTTAAATAACAGTCAAGTAGCAGACTTAGTTCAAAATATCAATAATAAAACTGGTGTCAGTCAAAAATGTCTTGCAAAGCACTACGACGTATCTTATTTCACTATCTCAAGAACTACAAACAATAGAACAAATATTTGAGCCTATAAACGTGAAGAAGCACTGAAATATTCAAATGATCAACAACAAAGTGCCCGAAAAAAATGTGACCAATTGTATCGTCAAATTTCAAACAACTTCTTCATCGTTATGGATGACGAGAAATACTTTTCGATGAATAATGTTAACATACCTAGGAATATATTTTATTATACAAGTATTAAATGTACAACACTACCTAATGTGAAGTACAAGAAGAAAATGAAGTATAGAACCGAGAAATGGTTTGGCTTGCTATATCATCGACAAATGTTTTTGAACTGTATATTACAATACGTTTTCGAATGTCTTCCTTCTATTGTTTATTCATTTAAATGAAAAACAATCTAAACAATATGCAATCTGTGTTTCTTGTACATGAAAATGGACTCTTCCAAACAAAAACAAAATCAGACTTCTAGCTTTTAAAATGTTCGAGATATAGGCTTCGACATGTTTCCCAGAACTTTTGCAACACTCGCTATATTGACTAACATTTCATTGAATAATGTCAAATTAAATTTTCTGAGCTCAAACGTGTTGATTTGGCTTCTGCAACACTCATGTATGTTGACTTTCTTAATGCCAGCACCAAGAATATGAACTTCCCATCTGCCAAACTTTCAAAAGTTAATGTTTCATTAAGCAACACCACTAATGTAATTTATTTTAAAGACAAACTGGAAAACGTTGATTTTTCATTTACCAATATTTTTTGTGTCGATTTTCATCTGTCTATCATTACAACGTCAATATTTCATCTACTTCACTCCTCCATGGTTGTTCCTATTTGACATCTGGGAGCTTTTTCAAAGTCAATTTTTTTATATATTGTATTCAGTAATAATGAATGTAGTTGATATTTTTTATTGTAGATTATGATTTATCTAATTTTCAGTACAGAAAAATGGCTCTTAAAATTTTTAAACATGGCACACTTCGTTCGAAAAAAAGTCAAGATTACGAAAATATCAACTTTTACCAAGTATGAGAGAATACACAGTAGTTGATCACATGATCCAAAAGGTGAGAGCTCTCGTCTCGAACAACTTATATGATCTGGTTGACATTTTATTCAACAAAGAAACTACTTCACTAATAGTAGCTTTTATTTCAAAGAACCGTAGTGCATCTCATCTTCTAGAATCAGAGGAAGAAGAACGTAACATACTGTTTTTAATTATCACCAGAATGGTATGGCTATGAGTTCATTCCCTGTGACAGCAAAGTCGATACACCCACATCATTCAACAAAGGTTCGATAAACGTTAGAATTTCTAAATGAAAATAAACCGAATAATCACACAATATAAAGATACATTTTGTAAGTATAGCCGTATGTAAGCGATAATTTCTTACACTGGTAAGCAGATTATTTATTGCATAATATGTTTTAAACATAAAACGAAAATTGATCTTTCATTCTTTGAAAAACGCTTCAATAGCTCAATTCAATGTAAAATTCTAGAAAAGTCGATATGAATTCTTTCGCAAATTTCTCGTTAAATAATTTATTAGACTTCCTAGTTTACACCGTAGGAAATATTGTTCAATAAATAGTTTTCAAAGCACATTTTAATTCGAATCCTGCTAATTAATCTGATCAAAAATACTATATTTTTTAAAGCAATGAAGATAATCTTTAGAACTATTAATAAGAAAGAAATAAAAATTCGCAAGAAAATTTTTTATGCTTACGCACTCCCGCACTATATATGGCTCTTTACAACCTGGTTCTTCTTTACGGAGAAACAGAAAGAGAGGATTGAACATAAATTCTGTACCGGCCTTAGAATTGTTCATGGAATGTATAACTGGGATGATCATACAACTTTAGTTATAACGAGAGAAAAATCTATATATGATTGTCTTTTTGTATACTGGAGAAAATTAGTGCGTCACCTGATGTCATGACCTGAAGCTCTTGCACTTCATCAAAGTTTGAATGCCTATCTGTTGTTAACGGATGTTAATAAATGCTGGACAAATGAACTGGAGTTTAGAATGAACAGTAGATTTTATAATAGATTAGTTAGGCAAGCGAGGAACTGTCTCATGGACTGGACTGCATTTGATTGTGTCCATATTAAACAATATGACTGCTTTAGAACTTCCACAAATATATTGAATACATTTGTATTTAAATATTTCTTATCTTCCTCCCCAGAGATTTGATCTGTTTGTTTTTTTTCTCTTTCTCTACATGTGACCGGTGATGTTTTCTCTTTGCATTGTTATCTCTCTCTTCACTTACTTTTCATGTTCCTTTTCTCTTCTCTCTCATCTTTATATTACTCGCTCTTTTTTTTAACATATTGTGAACCAAAACATTTATATGGCACAATAAATATAGATGTTAAAAGAAAATACTATATTCTTAGACCGTAAGATATTATAAAAATTCGAAATATTGAAGAAAATGCAGTGAATTTTAAAAAACTCTCTGCCGGCTTTTATATAAGAATCATTTGATACGAAACAAGTGTCTTTTTTTTCGATAGATATTTTTGCTCTATAACGCACATTATCTCTATTTTTTTTAACTGCATTTTGAAACGATAAGACAATGAGATAGATGATCATTGAAACTGTCAACAATAATCAAAATGCATTAATCAAATATATAATAGCAATACCTAATCAGATAAAGAGCACGAAAGAAAAAAATGCAATGATGAAGCACATTTTTTTTCATGTAGATAAACATTGATAGTATTAAAGGATAAGAGAATATTGAGGCACTTTTATTACCATCGAGTATTCTAATAGAGCAGGATATTTTAAAGTAAACAGATTTTTAAAAAATTCACAATATATAATACATAAATATAAATATGATTTTACTCTTAGTCATAAAATCACACACAAAGGCATGGCAAGAAAGAAACTGAGCAATTATTATAGTATCGTCCTTGGAAGGGAGCAAATTTAATTTTGACCTATTGATACTTCGAGTACTCTAAGACTGATACAAAATTGTTTGTCTCATATAATTTCTATATTGAACTAAGTATATTTTAAAATGAAAAGTTAAAGCTTCTAATATATGGCTGTCATTTATGAAGATAGTTACTGTTTACGAGTTCTCTATTTATAGAAGTAAATATACATAATGGAAATTTTTGAACACTAGTCTATTTCTTTTTTTTGTTTTTAGATACTTAGTATCGTTTATCACCTGCCCAAAGTGAACCAAATGTATTTCCTATTTTAATGTAACTGGCAGAGTGCTAAAATAATTTTTTTTTCGTTATTAAGATATTATAGTACTGCTGCTCACCGTTCTATACTTACTTTAGTATTGACTTTTCTTATTCTTTTTTATATCCAACTAATGAGGCTCTTCTTGTTGCTACTATTGTTATTAACATTTTTCATTATCTGTTATTAGATAACTAATTTTAGATATGATTTAAGATTATTTTATACGTTTTCAAAATAAAATATCGTAGCAATTACATTAGTGCAAAAACTTTTTCACGATCATAGACAATAATGATGATAGCTCGTCCTGTCCGTGAAGTCCTTTTGGTGCAGTTGACAACACCTCTAAAATACATATGACTATTATTATAAAATCGGATTACACGACCGGATATTGTCGATCTCATACCAATTCTATTACAATTGAATCATTAACATTTTTGTTTTTTTATCGTTCCGTTAGAAATATATACCATTGTATCAGCTTGTACAAATATTATATCTCCAATTGATAACAAAAGAAAAAATCCTGTCATACTTTACGTCTAAATGATATCTTACTTAAATTCAGAAACGATTAATAATTTAGAAAATTCCTTTTTGAATGCAAATAAATCACTTATACAGAATCGTATCTGATTATAAGTCGAAAGAAATATTTTACATTAAAAACTGAATATTTGAAGCTTGATTTACCATTCGAAAAAGTTTATATAATTATTAGTCGTCATATTTTCTTTACTGCTTCAAAAAAATACATATACCTCCTTGTGTCAGTATCAATGTTAGAGCCAAAACCTTATTGAAACAGAAAGTGTATCTTACTTAATAAACCTATACGTCTTGAAGGATAGACAATGGGTCAAATAATCAGATTTAAAATAAATACTTCTCTCAAAATGATCATAAAATATAATTTCGTACAAGTTTCTTCTAATTTTTTCAGAATTATCTAAACTAAACTAAGGCTTCATCATAATTGAGAGTAGAGTGACAACTCTTTTTCTCTATCTGATATTGACTGATCAAATAATACATGTACAAACTGATATATTTATTTATGTGTCAAGGATAAATGAAAAATAAATAAGCAAAAACAAAGTCACATACAGAAACACACATAAAGAGAACGAAAGATTTTTTATTTCTGCTAAACACTCTATTTTGAAAATTTTTCCTAAAGGACTTGTGAGTATGCTTTCGAGAAAATTATTGTTATGGTTAATCATTTATGCGATGTTGATTTAAGTAATTTATATCGAACTGGCATAAAATTCCGATGTTGCTCTTGTTTATCTTACTTAAATCACATTTCATTTATATGATTTATTTAGATTGCAGTGCTATGAATTCATAGTTTTTTTATGTACCGTCATTTTACGGTAAAAGATTGTCGTTTATGATTGAATTTGACCAAGATTATGCTTTTGAATGAGAAGTGATAGTGAGTGAAATTATAATTTTTTCATCGATTCAGAGCAACACATGTATAATAAAAATAAGTGACGATTTATTATAATGTATATGCTTCATTCAACCGAATCTTTATCAGTCTCGGTTAATCTATGTGAAGAGTAGATGAAAGAACGAGCAAAACCACTGTAATATTATTATGAGATATATACATCATTAACGTCAATACTATTCTCTATTTAATCCCAATAAAGTTATTTATACTAAAAAATCAGTCTCCCTTTGCGTTGTATATATATATTAACTGCGTATTGCTTTACTTACATTTGAATAACAACGTCGATTAATAACACTACTATTGTGATGTTGAAAAAGTATACGTTTTGTCTTTAGAAGTGAAATTTTTCGAATTTAGAAGAATGATATTCAGTTATATTCATTTTAGATAATTCCAATTGATTTAAATTTATTGAAACTGAACTTAGACAGATTTATTTGGTTTATATTCCATACGAACTGCAGTAGGTTTCATTTAAACCAACAAAAACTAATTAAACTAGTTCAAATATATTTACACTTATTTAGATCTAATCACAATCCATTTAGGTTGCCGTTGCATTAGTTGAAATATCATTCGCATAACTTCTATTCGAATGTTAACAATAGAAATTTAGTTGAATTGACTAGACATAATTTGAGTCGATTGTAACTAATGCAAAAAAAAAATAAATTTGATACGCATCAGTTAAAAATAGTTTTAAATCAATCCAATGTGATTAAGAGTAGTTTTAATTGATTTCGGATCAACTTTAAATTAGTACAATTGAGATTAAAAATCAATTTAGCTTCCTTACAATATAGTTTAAATTGATTTCAATCACATAAGGTAGTTTGATCTTGTTAAGATTTTGTTGAAGTTAAAATGTATTTAATAAGACTTATTCGAATCTAGTAAAATTTCACTTTAAGTTGCTTAAATAGACTAAAATTTATTTTGGTCTAACGTAAGTGTAATTTGTTTAACTTATATTTCAATCTGTAAAAAATAGTGTTCAAAGCAGGTTGTGGGTATGGCCATGAAGGTAGACATTGGAGGGATATCTATTAGCAATTAGAAGTTAAAAAATTGAGTATGATTATAGTGTTTGAATTGAGACGATGATTACGCATAAGAGGTTATCAGTGTACTGGCGATTTATTGATATATATCTTAACAATCAAACCAAAAGTTAAAATAAATGACTTCCTTTAAAGAAGCTATCTTGTGTGGCCAATATATACCTAACTAGTACAATAATAGAAGAATAATTTCTGAGCTCGTTTGAAAGCATCATTATGAAATAGAAGTATATATAATATTCATATTTCTTTTACGATATCACCTTGTTCAGTGTCTTTTATTCTTGCTTCTTTTGGAGCAACATATACTGATTATTTCTAACACTGAATTTGTTTGAATTTTCCTAGAAATCTTACATAATTTGTCTTGTAACGATGCGTCTGCCTACGATTCTCTTTGCTACAATACTGTTATGTAGCAGAAATGGTAAGTGCTTTTTTTTTTAAATGAAGGTTGATACTAATTGATTGTTCCATGTTGGTTCACGCGATTTTGTATTAGTTAGAAGCTAATATACTATTAGCGAATAAATTAATTGAAAAGCAATATGTGTTTTTTTTTTCGCTAATGCTTTAGAGAAGCATCAAAATCAGCCTGATAATCAATATTATAAGTTGACTCAATATATGCGGACTTCTAATTCGCTAAATAGTTTTTCTTTTCTTCTCAAAATTGAAGTCAAACCTGTACGAGAATGTATGAACTGTCTTGTGATTAAATTTGTTTTTCTTGCATTCAAAGCATATCAACCCTCTATTTAACATGAATTAATTTTGAAACAATAGACATATCTAATTCATCAGTGTGCGAATTTACATGTACACGACATGTTATCGAGAACGATCGTGTAACTCAATCTTGCAGCTCCATTTTTCAACTAATTAAAACTGAGTTTTCGACAGAGTTTTATTTCATGATTATATTTATAGTAAATTTAAATCGAGTGAAAAAGTAAATGGAGATCGGAACTAACGTGATAATTAAGATTGGAGATTTCGTTCTGAAGTGATGAGACAAAAATATTTAAAAAAAGGAATCTCATGAATAGATCAATGTCAGTGAATAGAGGATGCATCTTCATCCTCCAATTACTCATTCACCTCGAGAGTAAGATCGATGAAAGATTTCATCGCTTGAAACACTCGCTCGGTAATAAAAGGTTTGAGTGCCCAGCTTTTTAAAAGATGTGATGCTTGAAAACAATGGATAGTAGCACAAATGTGTTCTTTTATTTTTGGACATTATAGCCGCAAGTTTTAATGAACGAATCTATACAATCAGTGTCAATTCTTGTTGCATCGAAACTGGTGGAGTAATTGATATTTATTGGACAATCAATGGTGGAGTTTCAAATCAGCATACTGATTGGATTGGTATTTATAAATCTGATAGATGTGGAACAACTGTGGGAAGCTCATGCCTTCGTAGTCCATATGCAAGGAGCTATATTAGCAGCACTGGTACTTCTGGAACACAAACTATATCAGCTCCATCTTCGCCAGGAACATATCGTGCATACTACTTCAATGATCATGGATACGGAATTAAAGCCATATCAAAACCATTTTCCATATCATCGTCATGTTCAACCCTTCATTTAATGGTTGAGTCGGAAATTCAGGTTTCTAATGAAAGAGTTATTGTTTCATGGTGTGGTGCTGATACATCAGATATAGATGATAGGATTGCATTTTGGCAAATAGATTCATCTCCAAGTACTGATCAAAATTTTATATCTGATGCTTGGGCTTATACATACGGTGGAACAGTTGCACAGAATAAGCATCCAACAGCTTCAGGACAGATATCTTTACGGGTTCCTTCATTATATGGAACCTACACTGTTTATTACTGCATAAATGGTGGATATACCTGTCCAAGTTTCGTTACTATCAAAGTTGTCAATCCAAATATATGCAACCCATCTGTTTCAACAACATCAAGAATTGAACATATCATAATTATTATTTCTGAAAATCATTCTTTTGATAGTATATATGGAAGATATTGTCAAGCTACCACAGGTTCAAAACCAAAGTGTAATTTTGGTCCATCTTGTTGTGAAGCAGCACCAAGTAGTGTAAGTGGAGTTTCTCCCATAACATTAACCGATCAACAAAATGTATTGTACGGTCCCAATAATAGAGCCTCTTGTCAAATATGTGAAATAGATGACGGTTTAATGGATCGATTTGTTACTGGATGTCCTTGCTCAAATGCATCCAATTTTGCTATTGCCGATAGCACAAGTGCAGCAGGTTATTATTCATGGGCAAGATCGTATGCGATGGCTGATAATTTCTTTCAATCTGCCGCTGGTGCCAGTTCTGAAAATGATATGTATTTTGCAACAGGTAAATTCTTATTTTTGGATAATAGTGTAATTGCACAAAATCCAAATCTGAATGGTGCACGTTGTTATACCAAAAATTTCAAAAGTTATTATAGTACAACGATTGCAGATTTATTGAATTACTGTGGCATCTCCTGGACATTCTATGCTGAAGGATATGATCAAAATCCAAACAGTACTCAATGTTATCCAAATTATTACGATGCAACTGATAATCCATTTACGTATTTTCCAAGCTTGATAAATTATTTAGAAATTGATTCCAAAAATTTCAGAGACTATACCAATTTGTACTCTGATATTAGAACTGGAAAACTTCCAGCTGTTAGTTATGTCAAAGGATTAGGTATTCATAGTGAACATCCCGGTTATGGGACAATAACAGCCGGTGAAACAATTTCACAAAATGTCATTAATGCTATAAAAGAATCGAATAGATACAGAAAAAATACTGTTATATTTTTGGTTCCAGATGAAAGTGGTGGCTACTATGACCATGTATCTCCACCACCACGAAGTACAATTGATAATCAACCATATGGTCCTAGGACACCATTTGTTGCTGTTGGACATCAAGTTAAAAGAAATTATATTTCACATGTTCAAATGGAACCTTCAAGTTTAATTAAATTTATTGAATGGAACTGGTTTAACCGTCGAACTGGTCAATTAGGAACTCGTGATACGGTTGTTAATAACATTGGCGATATGTTCGATCATAAGAAGACCGGTGTTAAGATTCCTTCAAACTAATTACTTTCTTTCAGCAGCTACTCGATGTATCTCATTTTGCTAGTTATAAAAACTTCGCCGCCTTTATTTCAGCCTCTCAAATTTATTGCATGTTTAGTTAGTTTTCTCTAGAAGAATAATAAATTTAGTACCCAATCACAGTAATCAAATAAATGTCGTGTATGAGGATGGGTATGAGTTTACATAAGCAAGATCACGGTATGTGTTTCTATTTCACTATGAACTTCATCAGGTAGGTACACAATACCCATGGTGTAAATTTTTGCGAAAAAAACGCGTTCTGAAAACGCATTTTTCCATAGATGCAAAACGCGTTAATGCTGACCGGTTTGACGCGTTTCACATCTGCTAAAACAAACGCTGTGTAACGATTGTTTTTGTGAAAGATTTTGCAGCGTTTCTCAAACTGTGATGTCATATATTCTAGATGGAAAAAAAACTGAAAACCGTCAATGACTTCATAGATCTTGAATTGCAGGTACAATTTATATACTCGTTTACATTTTTTCATAGACCTTCAGAACTATAACTTACATGAATTTTGATGCAGTCAAGACATGGATTCGAACACGAGAACATAGGACTATAAGACATATATACAAACCGTTCAACTAAAATAATCTGATGATATAAATGTTTATTCTACTGTCATTTAGAGTCTCGCGTAAACTTACTAAATTAAATTTTCAGCTTCCATTCTACTGAATTGAAAATTATTATTTCTTTGGTGCCCATATCCAATTAATGTGGTCTTTTCTTGATACATTTTTCATTTAAACTCTTTCAGATTTAAATTTAGATATTCAATAGAACCGAATTTAATCGATTTAAATTATATTTAATATTTAAAAAATTAAATTTCTTATATATAAATTTTAAAAAATTTTAAATTTAATCTTTTATTTATTTTCTTGATTTAATAAATTTTTGTAAATGTAAATCTGCCATCGTTTTCTCCAATTACATCAATAAATGAAGGAAGTTTTCTTTTGTAAGTCGAATCTCTTTTATTAAAAAGTCACTCTTACTTCAACAATGTACAAACTAAAATCATGTCTACTAGTATTGTACACAGTATCATTATTCATTATCAATTCGTTCGAGTATGAACTCATACTAATAATTATTCAAATTATAGATAACGTGATAATTATTTTGTTCACAAATAACCAAAGAGAGTTGCCATACTAATTATATTAGTATCAATCTTTACTAAATCTTTTCCAAATGCTCAATATTTAAAACGATTCTTAAGTAAACCTTACGAAACATGTTTTCTTTCAATAAAAACGTGGTGAAATGAGTTTTTAAGTAAGCAGAATATATTTTTGTTACACTTTGATGTTTTACATTAGTCTAACTTCGAAATAAGTCTAGATAACAGCCTAGCAGCCTAAAAATTTAGAAGACTTTGATTTTAGTCTTACCTTCATAAAATCCTTGATCATGATTTTCACGTAAAAATAGTGCAAGGAGCAAAACTTTAAGTGCTATTTCATATCATTTCCAAAGTAATTTTAAAGAATTCACTTTGGTTAACTCATATGCTTTGTGTTGGTGAATTTCTGCAAGATTCTGTATGCAGAACGGATATATTTTGCATCATTCCAAGCAAAAACAATCCAACATACATTTGAAAAAGGAACGCGTTCCACCTTTCCCTCAATTTGCACCTGTGAAACGCGTCGCCTGTCGACCAAAGTGCGTTCGACAACATTTGAATTCGGAAACGCCTCGAAACGCAATCTTGAAAAAAGCGTTTCGGATCGTTTCTAAAAACGACGGTGGCAAAACACATTTTATGTAAGTAAGAATGCTGCGAAACGCGTCCTGTATTGAAAAAACGTTGCGAAACGCATGCTACAATCTCGAAAACGCGTTACGCGGTCCGTCTCCTTCAATATTTTACTCCATGGGCTAGACTAGGCTGAATTCGAACTGGCACTAGTTTCTTAAAAATAACTAGTCATGGCCAGTACAGATGACTCTTCATACTAGTCCGCATTACTATTGAAAACAGTCTAGACTAGTCAGATATCCAATATTCTCTGATTGAATATTCGAATCCATCTATCGTTTCCTTTTCTTCTAGTTTTTGTCGTTACGCTGACGCGTCTGGACAGTATGAACATACAAAACGGACTAGTCATGACAGAGTGAGAGCATGTTTCGGACTAGTCTATGTTAGGTTGCAAGACGTTGTTCATCAAGACAAGCAGTCCTGACGGGCTGCAAGTCATTTCAGACTAGACCAGACAGCAGTGCGGACCATTTGGACTAGACCAGACGGTAGTGCAGACATTTTAGACTAGTCACATCGGGCGCCCTCCCTTGTTTTTTGCTTGCCTGGGTGTGGCTGTTCTTTTCATCCACATCCACACCTGTGTTTTGATCCAAAAAATATTTACAAGAGTAGAATAGGGGCGCAGTGCCACATTAGATATCGCCAAATTTAACTTTATAGTTTTAGTTTTTTGGTTTATGCTGGTTTATTGTAACACTCGGAAGTGCTTACAATTATAGTTTTAGTCTGTAGCTCGTTATTTTTAGTTTATCAGAGAAAATTAATATAATAAATAATGTATATTACTGTTTTTTTTTATTATTTGTTATACATATGAGCACTTGAAAATAAGTTTTAGTTGAAGTGCATAAGTGTATTGTGATTTCAACATTGATTGGCACTTTTCATTGCATTTCATATCCTCTTTGTTCCTTCCGTCGGGTGCTTATATGAAATGACTTTTCAACTTAATCTACATTTTCAAATAGATATGAATCAAGTCAAACGAAGATTATCTTCGAATGTATACGCAAAGAAATTACGAAGTGAGTCATATTTAACATATACAGTGATGCTCAGTATTATTCGTACAGCTGAAGAAAATCAATACAAGTGTTTTATTTTGGCAAGAATCTAGGTTTTTTCGAGTTATGACCTTCATCAAAATCTAGAGTGGTGTATATAATGTACTTCTCAAGTGAAGAGGCACGGATCAATTCTGGCTGGAAATTCACAGAACATGGGAGTAGTATTTTGAACCGGTTGTCTTCGGATTGTTTCACCAACTTCTCACCGGAAACGTTGCAAAAAATTCGAAGACACTCAGTCTAAAATACTGCTTCCATATTCCAGTACTTTTTCGCATCTCTCTGATCGTTTCAGGAGTCCAGAATCATCGATCTGGGTTGTAGAAAGTCTCAATTTGATCTGTCATAAAATAATTGTTATAGGCAACAAAGAAGAAAAATTGTGTGTTTCAGTTTTTTCCTCAAAATGATCCATACAGTTTATTTTACAGCAGATCAAGTCAGAATTTTCTACATATACACTCTAGACGAAAATTACAGCTGAAAAGAATGAATCCGTGCCAAATTTTATTACTTACATTTATTTTCTTCAACTGCATAAATATATTTGAGTGGTATTCTATATATACATCTATCTACGTTCTTTTATTTTATGATAATCAGCAATCGATAAAGAAAAGTAAGTAATGAAAAAAAAAACAAATCTTCTCCTTGTATTATATTTCTTTTAATTCGTATAGTAATTCAATCACTTCTTTCGAAAATTTGTCAAATGAAATTTTTTATGAAATCTGCGATTATTTGGATGGTGGTGATATATACAAAGCATTTTCTAATATAAATATTCGTTTTCAACGACTTATTACTTCTTCTTCTCTACTGTTCAAAATTTCTCTTGATGAAAAATCACCAACAGAAATTAGACGTTGCTGTAAAGAACTTCTTATTCCGAATAGAAAATATGTTTTTTCACTTAAATTACGAGATTCCCCAGCTATCGACCAATTCTTCACGCAACATATTATCAATTCGTCGTTTATTCGACTTGAATCATTGAATTTTATTCAAATTTCAGCAGACAAACTTATGACAATACTTATTCATCTTAAATTTTTACCATGTCTTTTTTCATTACGAATTGATCTTAAACATGATTATGCCAATCATTTCAGCGAAATATATCAAATGATTTTTTATTTACCTTTTTTAAAATACAATAAATTATCAATATTGACAGAAAGAAAACCAAACATTTCCATTCCAATTGACATGTATGAACAATTAAGTACTATAGAATATCTAGTTTTGTCTCATATTTGTGATCTTTCTGAACTTACTTCTATACTTCGTCATACACCACAACTAAAACGTTTAACTTGTCAAAGTTTGATTGGATCGATTAATTATATCAACAATGAAGTTTCCGTAATATTATCCAATTTAATACACATTACTATTCATAATTGTCGAGTGAAGTTCGATGAATTTGAAAATTTTATAAAGAAAATTTCTTCTAAATTAGAAGTGTTATATATATATAATTTTCAAAATATAAATTTCATTACTCTAGGACATTGGGAATGTTTACTTTCACAACATATGCCTTACTTATTTCGATTTATATTGAAATATGAAATGTTTATTAAAGATGTCATTCTTTCTCATACATCTATCAATCAATTTAATTCACAATTTTGGTTTCAACGAGGATGGAATTTTCGACTTGATATCAAACCTGATAAAATATTCTATTTAATTTATCCAATTGAGTATTACAAAAAAAAAACTTTTTGTTTTTTTTATAAATTGTTCAGTTTTGTTTTTAGAAAAACATTCTTCATTTCATACAATCATCATTTTATACAACATACTATTAGTTCCATGCAATTTTCGTCACCTATTGATCTTTCTATTACAAATTATTCCAGTGTTTCATGGGAACCATCATTTATTGAGACATTACGTCTCATAATATACGACATACCGTTTAAAAGTTTACATCTTTTTTGGAGTGGAATGTCGTATTGTACATTAGGTAAACTTTTAAATTTGTTACCAAATGTCGATTCTTTGAAAGTATCGTCATCACTAATCGTAGAAGTCCATAGTAATGAAAACAATCTTTATATTAATAATAAAATTACAAAAGTCTGTCAATGGATGGAATTTGTTCAAGTGAAATTTTTTATTAAAATCTTTCCATTTCTGGAATATCTTGAAATTAATGGTATCAAAGATACAGATTTAGAAACACTTGTACGTTTTACTTTAATGAAAACTATCACGCACATTCCTCATCTTCATTCATTGTATCTCTCTGTTTACAATGCTAACAATATGATGGTATACAGATTACAAAGCATGATTAATTCTGAAAGACTTCTGTCAAATTATATGATCAAACGTTTAGACAACATCATCTCTTTGAAATGGAGATTAGAATGACTTCTTTTTTTTTATATATTTAACGTATTGTATTAGAAAAAAACTTCTTCGAAATCATATAAACAACAAATAATCATAAGACACTTTCAATGAGAACCATCCGATTTTTGTTGTAACGATGATCTTCTCCAATACACAAAAACAAATAGATCTAGATTCATGTGTTAGTACGTATAAGTGCATATTAGAGAAACAAAGAAATATAGAGGAAATGAAGAAAAGAAAAAACATGATCTAGATATTTAATGAGTAAAAACCTGTAGACGTTTGTTAATGGAAGAAAAAAAATAAAAATTGTTGCTTTTTTTTTCGAAACGTGAGGGTGTGGGTGTGGTGTGGATAAAAGGAAGTTTACCGACACCCACATCTACACCCACACACGCACACCCCACACCCACCCACACCCCACCCATGTACCGAGATAATATCATATGAATCTGCATGTTTTGATGTTGACTACGACATAATCAATTAAGCCCCCTCTTCCCCCCTTTTCAAAAAAAGTCATTTTTCACCAAAATGATCGAAATTGAGATAAGTTCATGAAGAAATAGCCCGTCATCTGCTCTTTCATAAATGACAAAATCTTTTACTCAGCACCTCTTTATTTCCAAAAATTTTGGAAGATTTTCGTCACCCCCTATTCGAAAAACAACCCGTTTTTACAAAAAACCCGAAAATCATTTTTCGTTTTTCTCAGAACGTGGGTTCAACGACGTAGCGCCAGCAGAACTCTATCATAGTAAGAGGTAAAGTCACATAATTTTTTTTGTTTGAAAGCTTGTGTCTATGGCTAGCCCTCTCGTGGCTCTTTTTTAAAATAAGCCTTTTTATTATCATATAAGAGAACAGCTATAGAAACAGCGCCATTCTTTTAGGGATTTTTTGAGTCATTGAACTTGTCATTCCTTTTCTTCGCTTAAAAAGTAAGAATTTTAAGAAAGGGCCACGAGAAGAGCTATATTCTGACATGCTCTTTCAAACAAAAAAACAGTAAATGTCTAGAATGGAGGCTCACAAAGAAAACTTGGCGCTACGATTGAGCTATTTTTGATCCTTGTTTAGTGGATATCTCTGTTAAACCATCGTGCTATAGGGCTGAAAATTTTACTGTAGTCATCGCTCACCAGCCCCCAACATATTCTGAAAGTTTCATGCAATTTGGATGTTCCTGGGCTGAGATCGATTTTTGAGGGAGGCGCGCCTTAACTAGCTTGGATTTGTGAAAATGTCTATATTGATAAAGTTTTGATTGTGGTACACATAACACATATTAGAGTTCTTTAAGTTCAATGTCTGCACAGCTGTGAGTCGAGTTCCTAATTCTTAAATGAACCAAAAACTTCCTTGAGACATGAATAGCTGCTTTTGGAAGTTTAACAATCAAGTAATGATCAGTATGCCATTGCCTTCTCATTACAAGAAAAAAACTCTGATCAACGATAGATGTCTAGCAGAAAACTAATGATTAGAATACATTTGAGAAAATTTTGAACAAGATTTCTTGTCTATTCGGAATGTTTCTTGTGTGCATTGGAATCATCCGAACGTTATTTTCAGTCTGTTCGAATATTCATTCCTACATTTCTGGCAATAGACCAATGTGGCGAAACCCCGCTTGATCCTTTTTATCAGTTAAAAAGTCGAAGAATATTTTCTTTCAAAGTTGTTGATTCACACCTAATACTTCAACAATTAACTACTTTAAGTAATTTAAAAATAAAGATACATTCATAGTATCAGCCTTACCGACATCTGCAATCAAAATGAGAAAAAAATAATTCGTGAATGATCAACAGATTCAGTAACTATAGCCTGTGATATGCCCCTGATAGTCGAGTACGATTTAAGCAGCTTTCTTTACTTGAAACAATCGTTCATTAGTAGCAATATAATTGGCAACGAAACATATTTTCTAACATTATTTTATTCACAATGAAAATTAACTTTTCTTTTTCTTTCGTTCATATCCTTGCGATGTCCATCGGAAGCATGATGAAAAACAATGAACCTCATGATGTTTTTTTTTTCGTTTATGCCAGAAAGAGAGAACATCGCTCTGAAACAGATACTTTAAGGAGAAAAGGGTGTGGGTGTGGGTGGGTGTGGGTATGGATGTGGGTGTAGGTGTAGGTATGGGTGTGGGTGTGGGTGTAAGTGTGGGTGTGGGTGTGTGGGTTGGCTGTGGGTGTGGCTGTAAGTGTGAGTGTGGGTGTCGATATTCGTTTCAACGAGACACCCACACCCACCTACACCACCCACACCCTTGACATCTGTAGTCTTATAATAGTATACTAGATGAATGATCCAATAAATTTTTCTAGGGATTTGTAAATTATGTTTCTTTTCTTCGAGATTGTTAATATCTATTATTTTTGACAAAACAATGTCGAACAATAAAGCAACAGAGTAAGAATGAGAAAAATTATGACTATTTTTCAGATGTATAAACTTTTCGGTAATAAAGTATCATACTGAACTGAAACTTTTTATAATAATTGTAGATGCCTAATTACAGAAGAAAAAAGTTTTAACTTCAAATCTCGTTCTTAGTTCGAGCTAGGACAATTTTACCGTATTGATAATACCTTTTTGACACTATCGCATCTACTCTTTTTTTTGATTTTCTTCTTTCCGCTAACCTTGAGACACCCATTAAGTCAAAAAACCCTTTGTAAGACTAAGAGAACTTATGAAAAAACTTAAATTCGGATAAAATTTTGTTCAAAAACATTTTTCTCTTTAGTGAAGGTCTTTTTTTGGAAAAATCAATTTTTCAACAACAAAACATATTTCATTTGATCACTTACTGCGATAGAATACCACTGGAAAAGCATTACCAAACAACTGCTGTAATTTTTTTTGGAAAAAAATGATTCTTTAGATGGAAAATCATCTTTTATCGTAAAGAGCTCGTTTTTAATAGAGATATACTTTAAAGTCATAATGATTATGAAAGTACACATCGAACTATCGAGCCATACCTTTTCTGAAAAAGTGATTTTTTGACGATACTAGATTTGTTCAGGAGCCTTTATCATTCTTTTAATTATTTTTCTCAATGTAATGAAGAATTGCGTAAAAAATATGCTTCATTCAATAATGAAGCTGAACAAATAGTTGTAGAGAATCCAAGAGATTGATCAAGTATTTCAAGCAATTCTTTTATGTTTGTTTATTCTTCCCATTTACATTAATTTTCTTCTTGCGACTTTTTTAGATGTCGATGAAGAATATGAAGAAGCAGCTGTCAAAAAACGATATCTTGGCATTGTTAAAGTAAATTATTTTTTTCTTTTAATATCAAAGTTCGTTTTTTTTTAAATTCTCTTTTTTTATTTTCTCTAGAATAAACGTAAAGTTCGTCGTTTAAATGATTGAAAATTTGTTTTTGATTGAAATGTTGGTGAAGATACAGCTGTTGATTATAATCCAACCTGTAAAGAAAAAAAATCAATCGAAATTTCATGGTGATCTATTTGAAAAACGTCGTACGTTGACAAGAAGAAAAAGATCGAGCAAGGTAAATTATATTAAAAAATAAATAAAAGTTTTAGTCATTCATTACTTTTTAGAGATAATCTTAAATATGATCGAGATTGGCGTATTTTCAAAGAAGATTATAATATGACAACCAGAGATGAAAATATTTCACATCCATTATGATCATGGGATGG